GTTAAATCTCCCAAAGTAATTGATTCCGTTTGTGCAGTGCTGTTGACTAGTGGAGTCAACCTACTCCTCTTGTTGCAATACTTTCTGGATTACTCATTTTTTCCATCTCAGCCTCAGTCAGTTTCTTCACCGTTGAGACTTGACGTCTCTCTATGTTTAGCTTCAAAGTTAGTTTACTTGAAAGTTTGTTCAAATTCTCGTCCTTATCTTCGGGGATTCCTGTTATTTCCAGTACATTAGTCAACTGTCTTTGTTAGCGGGTATTTTGATTTATAAGGTATATGCTTTTCTTCTCCAAATCTTTAACTTTTTCGGTTAGGATTTGCCATGTAGCCTTTATAGTATCTATTTTTTTATACCATGAACTTAAAAATTCGTTCACAGAAGCCAGTTCCCTCTTCACTGCTTTCTTTACCTTAAGTGCAGGAGCGGAGCAATTAACTCATCGCTTTGGAGCCGCTTTCGCCCAGATGGTTCCCATCAGTATCATCGTCATCATCCTCCGGAATTATGAAAGAATTACGATGAGGCGATTCTTTATGACTATCTTCATATGTCCACTCTAGGTTTTCAGGTGACTTTTTGTTTTAGTTTTATCACAATTGTCACCTTTAGGTATTTTTTTTTTACTTTATATAGAATTGAGGGTAATATTAATCTAACTGTCACAAATCTGTATACAGTTCGACTACGCTGTGCGAGAGCTTGCGAGTGACTGACTAGATATAGTATAGTAAGCAGTGAGGCTGCAACTACTTTTATTTTACGCATATGACCACTGAACCGGACTTATATTTTGGCAGAGAGTAACGCCTGCGTATGGCTACTCCACTCCGGTCTGCCGGAAACAAGTGTTATTTTATGCTTTATTATTATATCTATTTTATTTTATCTTGGCGTTCTTATTGTTTTACGAAAAACCGTAAAACATTTAAAATTTTAGACTATGAAATTTATAAGAGATTTTTTAAAGTCATCTTTTCACTATGGGATATAATATAATATATATTACATCTCGAAATATAAATTAATATCGTTCACCATACTTTTAAATGGAACTTCTTACACTGAGCTATAATATATATTACATCTCAAACTATAAATATTTTTTAGATCGACCGAGCGATATTTTCATATTATATTTCGCCCCCTGTACCCCGCACACCATTCCGCACCGTCGCAGAACACACACACTGGTTACCTTAGAATAACACTTAGAATAACACCTAGAAGCCGAGTCCGCGTCCGTAATGTGAGGCTTAGTTCAATACTCGGCCCGTTAGTGCTTAAAGTCGTGTCGTTTTATTCAGTGAACGGATGTCAGTACATCAGAGAAACATAGTAACATTACATTTCACGAGTAACTAATGCTTTTGAACTTATATTTTTACGTAAAACATTCATCAAAAATAAATATGAATTTTAAAAACTCACATATAACATTATATGGAAATGTTGCCAAAGTGAAAGAAAAATTCTCGCACCTTTGTTAATTAAAACTAAAACACGTCAACAGGAATGAGGGTATCCACGACTTTTGGACTTTTTCTGCTACCAGGGCGGCGCCACTTTACAGTGAGGTAAAATATTTGACAGATTTCATACCGGGTATAATAATTTCTTAAGAAAATGTAATATTTAAGGTTTCTTTCTGTATTATTAGTTATATTTTATATTAATTACATTAGAAATGAATAAACCAAACTATAAAATATAAGTAAAAGCCCTTTTTTTTAAAGAGTTATAAAGTGCAAAAAATTAAAAAATCAAACTTCTGACGAATTGTGTTGTGTAATAATATAATATTCTAGATAATGATAAACTATTATTTAAAACTAATTTCTCAATTAACTGACAATATGTTACAAAAAACTTTACCTCAGTCACAACTAGCGACATCTGGTGAGTTGAAGATTATTAGCCCTCATTAAATAGAGTGCGTAACGCAACTTGACAACTTATTACTACCAGGGCTGCCAACATTGAAAAAATGCAACGCATGGTTTTTATTTATCGACGGCTCCGTGACGCAATGGCTTAGCAATGAGTTGTTGCGCTGGGGGCCGCGGGTTCGAATCTCGCACGGAACAAGTATTTGTATGCCTTACAAATCATTGTTCCGGGTCTGGATGTTTGTCCTCGTGCAATTTATGTTTGTAAGCTGCCTCCACGATACAGGAGAAAATCCTAGTGTGGGGGTAACATTTTTAAAAAAAATTAAAAATATGGATGACGAATTTTAAGGAAACTTTTTATATGATCTGATAATAAATGTATGTTTGGTTTTCGTTTTATGTTTCTTACTGATCCGATCATTGCGGCTTGTGAGACAGAAAACATCAGACACAATCGAAATGAAAGCAGTTGGAAGCCCACTAAAATACAAAAATTTGTTCTTTACATTTTTTTATAGGATACGGTGACATACGAACACACGGTCCACCTGATGGTAAGTGGATGCTGTGACCCATATACATCTACAACTATCCTCAATAAAGAGATGCGTTGTCATCCGTGAGGACTGTGTAAAACCTACCAAAATTAAAATTTTCTTGTGTTTTTCGTATTGTAGCTTACATTATGCATGCAGTGAAGTGCAGTGCACCATTACTCGAAGATGATTAAAAAAATTTGTTAAAAACAAACTGAATACGGTCAATCGTTCGTCGAACAGTCGTGTGTCAGGCATCGGGCGGGTGTATATCGAACTTGCATTAGTCATATTATTGTAACGTCTCTATACAGTTACAAAGAAAAATATAATGCAATCACATTTATATGCTTCATAAAAGTATCTCACTTGGCTAGATAGGCAAATATCCTATTCAAAAATATTTTGAATTTAGCGGGCTACACTTCGATAATAGAATTCAAACAAACTTATTTCCACATTTGTGTGAGTCATACGTTACGTTGTAACTATTTGTCCAATATAGTTTCAACTTCCCTACTTTTCGGGAAAATTTAATGTATTGGCCACATTATTTCTTCACTTGTGTGTGTTTCACACGCACACATAGATTTTGTTCTTGCCCCACTTTTGAACGTCCGCTTTGTAGGGAACTATCGTTCTAGGTGTTATTATACTAAATTAAAAGATATATCTCACAGTGTGAAATCCAATCGCGGGATATAATTTATATTTCGGGATATAATTTATATTTCGGGATATAAAATATATTATATCCCATAGTGAAAAGCGAGCTTAACTGAGAGATGCCGCTCCTAAATAGAGACACAATCTAATAACTTATCTTTGATTATGATAGTGCATCAAGCATTAACCTACTGACTGGAATAAAAGAGAAGTAAAAAAATATTGTTTTTTTACAGATTTATGCGTACATAGAAGTATTAGCGGCATCCATAGCAGCAGCATTTATGTTATACATTCTAGTAGAAGCGCCAATGCTCCGGCTAATCAAGAGTTTTACACCGGAGCAAAACAGTCGAGAAACTAAAAAGCTACAATAAAACTGTTAGAAAATAAAAAATAAAACCTAAAACATTATTATTTTACTTATTTCATTATTGTTTTTAATGAATTGATTTTGGTACTCTTTCTATAAAACGCTTAGAGCATATATGGGCAACAACTAGCCCACGGGCCGGATCCGGCCCGCTGTAAGATATTTGCTTGCTCGATCAAATTATTTGAGGTTTGTCGCCTCACCAGTGACACATCAAAAGATTTATTGCATCTCAATTATTCTAAACTAGTTTATTCTAGATTATTACTTCATTTTGCCTATATAAGCGGGTGAATGACCCGAACGTTATTTCAGTTCTATTTGAGCTACCGAGGTGATAACTTGGACAAGCGATATCCTAGTGAACTGTTCGAGCCGTCAACTTGCTTTGTGACTTTGTGTGCATCTTGAGTGGTTACTAACTATAGTTTGTTATTAAGTTTATTGAACGAAAAGTAAACAAAAGTAATGTCTGGTGGAAAGAAACGAAAAGTAGATACAGAAGGTCGCCAGTTTCAAGAAAAATGGACTGAAGAATTATTTTTTATCTTGCACAATGGTAAGCCTATTTGTTTGTTGTGTAATGAATCCATTTCAGTAATGAAAGAATTCTATATAAAGAGGCATTACTCAACTAAGCATGCTACGCTGCACTCACTGACAGGACAATTAAGAACAGAAAAAATCCAGAAGCTTACCGCAAATTTGGAAAAACAGCAACAAATGTTTCATAAACAAAGAACACAACTTGATAATGTTGTGAAAGCTAGTTTTATACTTAGCTCAAAATTGGCAAAGGCATTAAACCATTTGCTGTAGGAGAATTTATCAAGGAGTGTATGTTAGAAGTTTGCGGTATTTTGTATCCTGAAAAGAAAATAGAATTTAAAAAAATTAGTTTGTCAAGACGAACTGTTGTTCGACGTATAGAAATGATGGCTAATGATATAAAAACAACATTGACTGACCGTATGGCTAGTTTTGAATCATTTTCCATAGCATTAGACGAGAGCACCGATTTTTCTGACACAGCTAAACTGGCTGGATATTTATTCGAGGTGTTGATAAGGAGTTCACTGTTACTGAGGAATTGCTTGCTTTACAGCCGCTAAAAGGAGAGGATATTTTTATTGAAGCTCAAAAGGTATTCACAAGTTTTGGCTTGTCATGGTCAAAATTAATTGGAGTATGCACTAATGGTGCACCTTCTATGGTCGGCTTACGTAAAGGTTTGACGAATGAAAAAGCATCAGAATTAAATGTACAAAAAGATGATTTGATAGTCCTTCATTGCATTATCCACCAACAGAACTTGTGTTCTAAGTCCATTTGACTCCAGAATGTTATGAATGTCGTAGTAAAAGCCACCAACTTAATTCGATCCCGAGCGCTTAACCATCGTCAGTTCAAGACGTTTTTGGATGAAATATCAGCTGAATATAACGATGTAACATATTATTGTGAAGTCTGATGGCTGAGCAAAATAAATATCTTGAAACGGTTTTACGAGCTTAGAAATGAGAAGACTTTATGAAAATAAAAGATAAACCACTATCTGAATTAAGTGACCCAAAATGGATATGTGACTTGGCATTTCTGGTCGATCTTACAGGCTATTTGAATGATTTAAATTTTAAACTTCAAAAACAAGGACAGTTAGTAAATGATTTGTACAGCCATTTGAAAGCGTTTCAGATCAAACTACGCTTGTGGGAGTCACAGATGCTGTCTGGTAACAGTTACCATTTCAACACGCTCTCTGCGTATGAAAATATTCTTTATGCTCAATATGCTGAAGAACTCAAGTTATTGTCGGATCAATTTTCTAACAGATTTATCGACTTCAAGAACATGGAAGACTGTTCCAGTTTATTTGCTACTCCTCCAAAATATAATGTACAAAATGCTCCAATACACTTACAAATGGAGTTGATCAAGAAAACACACTCCTAGAATCCAAATTTGAAGACGTAGAGTTGTGCGATTTCTACAAAAAATACCTAGAAGAAGACAATTTTCCGCAGCTTAGAAAATTTGCAAGAAGATTGATTTGTGCGTTTGGTAGTACTTACGAGTATAAATGCGAACAGTTCTTTTCATTGATGAAAGTTAATAAATCAACACATCGTACAAGACTGACTGACGATAATCTGGAAAATTCTTTACGTCTTTGTATCAGTGGAATTAATCCAAATGTCGATGGATTAGTTTCCCAAATTCAAGCTCAAGTGTCTCATTGATTTCGGTGTATTTAACTTTGGTAGTTTGTAACAATTCCAAACGATTTAAATATAATGTACCATTTTATTAAATTTCTTTTTGTTATTTTAATAAATTGTACTATAATAACATTGTCGTATTATTTCTTGTCTAATATCTATCGCAAAAAATATTAACACTACTTTAAAATGCACTAAGTACCTACTTATAAACGCGGCCCGCGAATGTATTTGCACGCTAAAGTTTGGCCCTCAACATGTCAAAGGTTGCCATACCTGGCTTAGAGTAATTACCTATATCTATATACTCTAAGTTAGAAAGTATTTAAATTAAAAAAGATTTTGTAAAATAAAAAATAAAACGCTTCAAAAATTTTATTGCTTTTAATGAATTGATTTTGGTACCCTTTTTATAGAAAGATTAGAGTAATTACCTGTAATTATATACTTTAAGATAGAAAAGTTTTATTACCAAAAGGAAAAATGCGACACAAACCGCGAAAATCCGTTTATAGACCTAATACAGTATCCATAAGAGTAGCACAAAGTTGATTCATGCGTTTTCAGTTCGGTAATTTTGATGACAAAAATGCATCTCGCTCTGGTTGCCTTCATACAGATAAAGTTAATGTAAGTTTTGAAAAAGTGGAGCAAGATCGGTATATTAGTGGTTAAGACATAGCCGAGGAATTGAGAATTGACCATAAAACATTTGTGACCCATTTGAAAAAGTCTGGCTACACAATAAAGCTCGATATTTGGGTACCACACGAGCTCACTGAAAGAACACTCGTGTAATCGAAAAAAATCATGGTCAAAGGATAGTCGAGCTCCACAGACTGTAGCGAAACTGTATAATATATATAAGGTGATGATGCGTGTAAGGTGGGATTGGAAGGGCATCGTTTATTATGAGCTTTTACCACCAGGCAAACCCATTGATTCCGATCTTTACTGTCGCAGCTAATGAGAGTCAAGCAAGAAATGGAAAAAAACGGCCGGAATTGATCAACACAAAAAGGAGTAGTCTTTCATTATGATAACTCCAGACTACACAAATATTTGGCCACTCAGCAAAAATTTAAAGAGCTTGGTTGGGCAGTGTAGTGTAGTTGGGTTACGTGGTAGAGCCATGCTGCAGCTATATTACTAGTATAGTTGTAGCACGAATGGGTCGGCTCGACCGGGGAAGGACCACGCTCTCACAGAATACCAGCGTAAAATAGCAGCTTAACGCTGCTGTGTTTCGTATGGTGAGTGTAGAGAACCGGAGACCCTTTTTACTGGAAAAGAGGCATTCCATCTTAGTCCTGACGGGTGACAACGCATCTGCATTTTGATTCGTAATCGAGGATAGATGCAGATGTCTATGGGCCACAGCAACCACTTACCATCAGGTGGACTGTGTGCTCGTTTGTCACCCTAATCCTATAAAAAAAAGTGTTAATGCATTCACCATATAGTTCTAAGCTAAAACTGAGAGACCCAAACAGGTGAAAATCTGAGGGTGTACCTCAGATTTTCACCTGTTCGGGTCTCTCAGTGTTAGGTTTAAACATCAGGAGAGGACGAGTACGAATTTTACGTTGTAGAGCCATACTGAGGCTATAATTATTACTGGTATAGTTGTAGCACGAATGGCCGGCGAAGGACCATACTCTCACAGAATACCAGCATAAAATAGTAGCTTAACGCTACTGTGTTTCAGATGGTGTGTGTAGAGAACCGAAAACCCTTCTTACTGGAAACTTCAATCTTAGTCCTCACGGGTGACAACGCATCTGTATTTTGATTCGAAATCGAGGATAGATGTAGATGTCTATGTGCCACAGCAACCCTTACCATCGGGTGGACCGTGTGCTTGTTTGTCACCCTTATCCTATAAACAAAAGGACTGTCAAAACTACTTGTATTTTTTTGATCAAAACTCCCAAAATCTCTACAGCAACGAGATTATGTCACTACCTTCAAGATGGCAACAAGCTATAGAACAAAATGGCATATATATATTATAATTAAACTTTAAAAAAAAATGTCTTGAAGTTGTATATAAAATACAAAGCAACTTTTTCCCCGACCTTATTTGTAGTACCACATACACAACAGCACCAAGTTTTATGTCAAATTTTAACAACAGATTTATAATCTCAAAAAGATTTGGTAATTACATAATATTAAACCTAGAAAATGGCCCAGATCAAGTAGGCTCTAAGTCCACTTAGTAATTTTATGCATTAACAACACAGCCAGTTAAAGCTCTTCATTTTCTATGGTTTAAATAAAACTAATTTTACGGATTTTATCGCGTATATTAACTTATTTTACATTCCCGATGTTTCAAGCACTTTACAGCACCCATGCACGGGGGGGACTGAGGTGTATCACGTCCCAATGTCATAGTGTCCCCATGTCATACACCTCAGTCCCCCCCGTGACCATGGGTGCTGTAAAGTGCTTGAAACGTCGGGAATGTAAAATAAGTTAATATACGCGATAAAATCCGTAAAATTAGTTTTATTTAAATGTGTAGTGTTCGCGTAAATATAAGAAAAATCTATGGTTTAGTCTATTTCTTTAATTTCTAACACACATGTACTGTATTTTTTAAAACACTATAAACTATTAGGTCCAGTGATTAGATTTTATAAAATATTTATGTCCAAAAACTCCCCTAGTAACCTTATATGTAGTATCTATAGAATTAAAAAAATATTATGGAGTTAAGTAAATTTTTTGATATTTTAGATCATAAGGAAGGAATGTACCCACCGATAAGAAGAAAATTTTTGTGTCTTCGAGCTATTTTATTGATAATAAACTGGTCAATAATAATAAAAAAAATCAAGGTCCTAATTATTTTTCACAACAAGCCCTGAGTCCAACAGAAAATCATAATCATTCATCATTACAGCCCTTCACAAGTCCACTGCTGAACATAGGCCTCCCCTAAGGAATGCTACACAGCACGATCCCAAGCCACCTGCATCCATTGACTTCCTGCATGTCTTACCAGGTCGTCACTCTATCTAGTGGGGGGATGTCCCTAATCTTCGCCTGCCGGTACGAGGCTGCCACTCGAGAAATTTTTCTTATAGGATAAGGGTGATAATCAAGCACATAGCCCACCTGATGGTAAGTGGTTACTGTGGTTTATAGACATCTACATCTATCCTCGTTTACGAATAAAATTCTGATGAGTTATCAGCCGTGAGGACTAAGATGGGATGCTTCTTTTCCAGTAAAAGGGTTTTCGGTTCTCTACACTCACCAAACGAAACACAGCAGCATTAAGCTGCTATTTTACGCTGGTATTCTGTGAGAACGTGGTCTTTTCCGGCCGATCCGACCCATTCGTGCTACAACTATATTAATTTGGATGTAGAATGGCTATACCACGTATAACACGTTCTTCCCCATCGGTTGTCGGTTCCTCGAGCTATATGACTGGCCCATTGCCACTTCAGCTTACTAATCTGTTGGACTATGTTGGTTACTCTGGTTCTACTGCGGATATCCTCATTTCTAAGTTTATCACGCAGAGAAACCCAGAGCAAAGCCCTCTCCATAACTCACTTAGCGACCTTGTGCTTCCTCATATGGCCAGCAGAGAAGGACCACGTCTCAGATCCACAGTTCATCACTGGCAACACGCACTGGTTGTACAATCTTGTTTTGCGGTTTTGAGGTATGCCTGACGAGAAGATGTGTCGTAATCTCCCGAACGCTGCCCAGCTGAATTTAATCCGTCGAACCTCTCGGTTGAAGTTGGACTTACCTAGTCGGAATATTTGTCCCAGGTAAACACTGTCTCGTCAATAAGTTATAGCTTAGTGCTCCCAATAATTACCAGCATAGATGGGACACGGACGTTGCACATGATCTTTTTTTTGTCCATGTTCATCTTAAGACCTATCCGTTATGAGGTACTATTGAGGTCATTTACCATAGTGTTTAGGTAATCCAGCGATTCTAGCATAAGGACTATATCGTCGGAAATTCGAAGGTATGTGATGTACTCGCTATTGATGTTAATATCGTATGCTTTCCAGTCCACTAGCTTGAAAACGTCTTCCAATGTATCTGTGAAGAGTTTCGGGGATATAACGTCACCCTGCACCTTTCTGCAGTTGGATATATATATATATATATATATATATATATATATATATATATATCATAAAATAGCCATCTTTTGGTGAAATGGTGTTATTTCATAATATTTAACACTGTTTCTTGACCATATCATGATATAGCTTGACCAAATCGATCGACGATATGAATAACTAAACACAACATTGCTATTACATGATATGGTACACCACTAGCGGCGTTGACGTTTGGCAAAATGATTAACGACACTGTTAAACTGGCCACTGTATACAACACATACTTTTAGTCACATAACTGAGATTAAGGCTGCGTTTCCACAAAAGATATGCGAGGATGCTTGGCGAGGGATGTGTTTGTTAAGAACCAATAGAATCACTTCATTTACCTAGCCTCGCTCAACACAGCTCTTGTGGAAACGGCTCAGCGGAGCGAGGTTTTTGTATATACAAAACAAGGGGAGAATTCGTGCAAGGGATGTGTTGCGAGGGATATGTTGCGAAGAATGTGTGCGAGGGATGTCTGCGAGTGCTGTGTGCGAGGTATGTGTTGCGAGGGATGTGTGTTAATGGCGGACGCGATCGAAAAAATGCAGTCAATAGACGGCAGCACAATATACATCCTCGC